AGGGCTGGGCAACCACAGAAAAATTTGTTTCTAAACTCGATTCGTTTTTAGGGGGTTTTTGCGTTTCGATTTTTAAAAGAATTCTGAAATTTTTCTTTAAAAAAGTTCAAAATTTATGAAATTTCGGAAATTACGAAACAATTACGAAACAATTACGAATCGATTCGTTAATGGTGGACGCGACCGCGCAATACGCTAAAAAAACCTCCAAATGGGACAGGGGGAACTTCTGAAGCTTCCCTCTCCCTCTGTTGTTGACTGTTGGTGTGATAATTATATATTTTTTCACTGATAAAACAAACAACAACTATAAAATTTGCACCAGACATCCGGAAATAATAACGAAACGATTTCGAAACGATTTTGAAACGATTACGAAACAATTACGAAACAATTACGAAACGAATTGAAAAATTCGTTTCGATTTTTAGTTGCTCCTGAATGGTTCAGTATCGCTTCATTATCAAAAAATAACGAATTAATAACGAATTACGAAATTAACGAACGAAACCGCCCAGCCCTAACAAAGTGATAGAAATTCTAGCTGAACTATTAGATTGCACTGATCAAGAAATGCAAGAACAAACAGATAGACACATTTAAAGGCAATCAAAATATGGGGGTTTTTTGTACAAACACCCACAAAGCATTGATCACTCAACACAATTGAAATTACATACCTCCATGTATTTGTCATATTATAGGGAATTCACCTTTTCTTACAATATTTAAAAATGCATTTACAAATGTATGTGGTATTAAATTATTGATCTATTAAAACCCATACAATGAAGTTGGGGGTTTTTTTTGGTTGGGTGATAGCTCCAATGAATATACAAATTCACTCTTTCATTTCTCAAACTCCTGGTTTCTCAGGTAAAATACAACTACCATCCCACCACTGAAAGAAGAGACCAGACAAGATTGTGGATTGAAACATGGGCAATTTTTACTTAAATGTTATCTGAATTAACTTTGTGGCTTGCAGCATCTAACTAAAGGAGCATGAACCTGGTGTGGATTTAAGCTGAGGTAGTGGTTCTCCATGACCTACCCCTCAACTAAGTTGGGAGAAACACCTGGGTCCCTGGATATAGTACATTTTACTGTTTCCAGGGTGATCCCTCAGGAAAATGTACAAAGAATTCTGCCCCAAGTCCAAAGAATTTTATGGAGGCCAGAACTCTCCCTGTTTCAAGGCCATTTCCATTCGTTCTCACCTCAGTTACATAAACACAGGTGAGGTTTTCTGTTCCTGGCCAACACCACAAAGGAGTGCCTTAGGAGTACACCACATATAAATCTATGGCTGCTTTCTGCCACAGATTAGGGATACTCTACCCCTATCCCCTACTAGGCTCCCCAGAGCAGCCTTAATGCCCCTTTTCAAGTCAACTTAGAATTGGTGATTGCCAACATCCAAGGGATGGATGCCATTACCTCAGAAGAAATCGGGCCTAAAGTATGTGATGTCATTGTGAAGAATATATGAGCTCATACCTTCATCCAGCACCTTGTGAACAGCCCATTTGACTCTCTTTCTCATTATGTCAAATTTATTAATGCCATGCTGTGTGTGTGAGGTCATGCTTCCTTGATCTTCTGAAATTGATCAAAGCCTGGATAACCAGGGCTTCGCCTTTAGACAGACCCAGGTCATTTCCACTCAGGTGGATCACAAACACATCGGGAGGAAGCACTCTCCCCAATGCAAACAGCAATGGGTACAAACTGTGCCAATGGAGGCCTCCCCTGCCTCCCAGGCTGTCTCCACCCAAGTGGATCAGAAGCATATTGGGGGCAGCACTTCCCCAATGCAAACGGCAATGTGTACCAACCATGCCAATGTAGGCCTCTCTTGCCTCTCATGTCATTTCCATCCAAGTGGATCACAAGCACAACAGGAGGGAGCACACTCCCTGATGTAAATGGAAATGGGTACCAACCGTTGGAGGCCTCTATTGCCTCTCATGTCATTTCCACCCAGGCAGATCACAAGCACATCAGGAGGAAGCCCTCTCCCCAATGCCAAGAGGAACAGACACAGTCCATACCAATGGGGGCCTTTCCTGCCTCTCAGGTAGTTTCCACTCAAGTGGAACACCAGAACAACAGGAAGAAGCCCTCTCCCCGATACAAACATAAATTGATACAAACCATGCCAACACAGGCCTCTCTTGCCTCTCCCTTCAATAGTGGCCACTGGGATGCAAGGCCCAAATGTCAGCCATAGGGACTGCTGCAAGTCTATCTCTTCACTAGTCTTGTGCAATCTGGATAAACCATGATCTGTTTTGATGTCCCAGATATTTGTGGGGGGCCCAATACATTTTTCATGAGACTCTCGAATTTGGAAGGAAAGAAATCTGTTTTTAATCTGGGAAGCTGAAAGATTTGTTTTTCATCCTGCCCATTATCCTACCTTGGACTTCCTTTAAAAAGCCCCCTTTTTTCCTCTTGATTTGCAGGGCCCTGCCTGGAGTGGTGCCTTTTCCCCCTCACAATTCAATCTCCTTTCTGTTATAGGTTTAATGCTTCCTTAAACAGTTTCTAATTTTTTTACTCTAGAGGAGATAGGCACTACAGGTGCTAAAGGCGCTGCAGGTGCTGCAGACGCGTGCTCTCACCCTGAAGCACATACCATGCACTCAGCTTTCCAAGGCATTTTAAAGAGGCTTTCCCTTCCTAGGGAAGGAAGAGTGATCCACCTGGAGCTATCCTACCTTAGACTTCCCTTAAAAATCCCTTTCTTTCCCACACCTGGAGTATTGCCTTTTGCCCCCTCACACTTTAATCTCCTTTCTGCTTTGGGTTTAATGCTTCCTTAAAGTTGATTCTACTTTCTACTCTAGAGAAGAGTAACTAGGTGGTAGTAGTTTTCTGAGAATTAGGCTTTTCTTTTTGTTTGCTGAGATTTATTATTATTATTATTATTATTATTATTATTATTATTATTATTATTATTTAGAAGTATATTTTCTGAAGGAGAGGAGGGGAGGAGAAAAAGAAGTGAAAAGAGTGACTCTCCAAGCCCGCAATCATGTGCATGCACCCCACTCACCCATCCCACACATTCCCAACTCCCAGCCAGTCTCACTAAATAAAAAATCAAGAAAATAAAGAAAAATAAAAAAGATTTTAGAGAGGCCAAGCCAGAAGCCAAGCCAAAACATTAAGCTGAGAATGAGTGAGCCAGGCCATAGATGTATGTCATGGACATCTGCAAAGTGTTGGATCTCTTGGGCCTTTTTTGTCCACCAGATATTCTTGAGTTCTCCTCAGGTCTCTCCGACAGGATGGTGACAATAAATTTTTCCTTGATGTCTTTGTCAGCATCTAGTGTTGGTGCGTAGGCACTTACAATAGTTGCCTGATGGTTTTTGACAAGGTTGATTCAGAATCATAGAATCATAGAATCAAAGAGTTGGAAGAGACCTCATGGGCCATCCAGTCCAACCCCCTGCCAAGAAGCAGGAATATTGCATTCAAATCACCCCTGACAAATGGCCATCCAGCCTCTGCTTAAAAGCTTCCAAAGAAGGAGCCTCCACCACACTCCGGGGCAGAGAGTTTCACTGCTGAACGGCTCTCACAGTCAGAAAGTTCTTCCTAATGTTCAGATGGAATAGGTTGAGAGTTGTTCATTAATGCCAATGGGTACTTTGGACAGATGCTTCACCAGGTAATTTCAGATAGTAAAGCTGATTCCATATATTCTTCATTCTTATTCGGGCAGTCCCTTCCAGAAGAAGATGTAGCTTCCTTTTTCTTCCTTCAGATGTCCTTCTCCTGCTCTTCAGGTCTCTTGAAGTGCTGCTATGTCAATGTTGAAGCATCTCAGCTGCCTTGCAATAATAGCAGTCCTCCATTCAGAGTGTTCGCTGTCTGTGGTCTCCAACAGTGTCTGTACGTTCCATGTTTTTGGCTGCAAGGTGGTGACCCCCGCTAGATGCGGCAGTCCAGTCAGAGATAAGTGAGGCAGACCATGTTTAGAGCACCTTTTCTAGACCCCTCCCATATTAGGTGAGCAAAATGGGTCCTACAAAGGGTTGTTCAGTCTTGGCTACAGCTGCCAGACTACTCTACTGCCTCAGACCTTGAGGTAGAACAACTGAACCCATATCCATCACTCATGTGCCTGTTTGTGGCTAGGGCTTCCAGATTTCATAGTCCTGCCCCGTTGCCACTCATTGATTGTCATGGTGCTTTTATTGGTTTTGTTTTATTTTTCTTGGAAGACAACTGTGCATGAAATTGATTTATGTGTGTAGGTCAATATACAGCCAATCAACACACAGTCTTCACAGAATGAGGGTCCAATTCAGTGCCATAATTAACACTTCACAGAATGAGGATCCCATTCAGTGGCATAATCTGTTGCAGGGTTCTTCCCCCTTCACAACCATTGCATCATGTACCATTTTGTTGAAACACTATTTTGTAATCCTTTCTTTTTAAAAGTTTGTTCTGGTTTAATAAACAACATTTTGGGTTTTCTCCAGTCTTGTTTCATCTGCCCATTTCTTCAGCAAATCATTGCTGAGTAATTTTAGAGATAAGACTGTGACCAGGAAATGGCCTCCACTGGAATTGACATTGGCAAGTAAAGAGTCAATAACACAAGTTGGCAAGAGTTATCTTTTTACAAATAAAGACTAGTCTTTGCTAAAGTGAAACTGTGAATGTTAAGTGGTGTCTTTCCTTTCAATGCTTTCAATTCAATTCACTGCTGTCAATTTAATTCAATTGGAAGTATTTTTTTAAAAAAATCATTTTTATGTTCCTATGGTGCCAAAGAACCTTACATTTAACTCAATTAAACCAGAAGAGAACATTGGAAACACAGGTTGGACATGAAGATATGTCTCAATCACAACTGTAGAGAGGGTCCAGGTTGTCTTTTAGCATCTTCAAATGCTTATATTATTTGGCCATGTTCAAGATTCATTGTTGAACTTCTGGTAAATCATGTGATTTAGAAAAGTAAATCCTAATTATGTAACGCATAGCCTATATAAGGAGGACTAAACTCCTAGTATCTTATCCCTGGCTTCATAGAGCGCCTGAAATTGTGAAGCAAGTGAGTGGATTTTAAACTGATCTTTGAATGATGGGTGTCTGAGGCTGGATCTACATTGTCCTATATCCAGGATCTGATCTCAAATTATCTGCTTTGAATTGGATTATATGAATCTACACTGCTAGATAATCTGGGATGAGCAAATAATATGGCACCAGAACCTGTGATATAGGGAAGTGTAGGTCCAGCCTAAGAAAAATTGCTACCAGTTCTGTGTAAAAACTGGTCATCTTGCATTGTGCTCAACACATTTTATTAATTGAAAACAGGCTAGATCTTCTTGATTACCAATTCAGTCTTCATTGATAAGATATATTTTGATTATTAAGTGCTTACTGTATCTGATGTTCACATTCTTCTTTGCTTTTCTTCTAATTTCTTCCAGCTTTAATGATTTAGTTGATTTTTGTTCAACAATAGTATAATTTCTTATTCTCTTAATTTCTTTAACACTCATTACTTTTTACATTTGCTTGAATTCTTCAGAGGATATAGTCACTTACAAGGAATACTGTGAAATATAGTTCAAAAAAGCAGCTTTTCTAAGTATTCTTTCAAGGTAAGATTAAGAGATTTTATTTAAACTCTAGAAAGTCAATGCAAGTCAGTTAATAATTTTCATTTTATTGCAGCACAATGGAAAACACTTTGTATGCACTGATTCTTTCATTTCTCTTCTTTAAATTCTTTTCACAGACTGAACCATTAAACAATGCTGTTGCTTGTAACACTTTGTGCTTTAGTCCTCTGCGTATTGCCAGAAACAACCGTGGTACCACAGCAAGTTGTTCAAACCTGCGACCCAAAAGCCTGTTCACTAGTTGTGTGTGCACCAGCTGAGAGAGGGTTACCAGGAAGAGATGGGAGAGATGGACTGCAAGGACCAAAAGGAGAAAAGGGAGAACAAGGTGTGGAAAACATAACTTTGTAATGCTCTATACTAGGAAAGCAATGATGGTGAGGTTGAAGGTCATTTCCAGGTTTTTAAGTTTTCTTTTTATTAATTGAAGTGTTGAACATTTTTGAATTGATTAAAATTAATTAATTGTATTAATTAACATTAATTTTTTCAGTAAAGATTAATTAAATTCTTCATAAAATAAAAGTATTATAAAAATGATGATGACATTTTTATAATACTTTTGATCAACTTCTGGCAGGTCACAGAGTCACCCAAAATAACTCACCTAAATTTGTGAGTTAAACAAAACTAAAATCTTCTTTATGCCCTCCAGTACAACTCCATGACCTGCCAGAAGTTGATCAAAGAATCACACTGGAGTATCTAGGGATACCTAAAAAAAACACTTCTCTAAGAAATTCTGGATTTTCCAGTACATTGACTTCTTGTAGAAGTTGACCATAGAATCATATTGGGGAATCTAATGATTTCTATAGGAGTGTTCTTTTGTTCTTTCACATTTGTATGGGCCTTTGACTGCTAATTCCAGAGACCATGGAGGGCTACCTATAGTGTGTCTTTTCTAAGCTCCTTTCCCTGGCTTATGTATTCTTCCTCTTCTCTGGCTCCACTTTCTTCCTATTCTCTGGCCAAGTATGCATCCATAAAAGGTGCATGAGAACATTGCCCCTCCTAAATAAAAATTTTCCCCTTCCTCATGAAATGTTCATTGGGTCCTGAAGTGTTTAGCCTAACAAAATTTTGGATATGCGCTTCCAAATAGAGTTTAGGCATTCAAAGAAATAGAGTGGGCAAAGTCATTCAGGGAATGTGAACACTGAAAAATAGAGGTCTGACTCATTTTCAATGTTTAATTCTCTGTAATCCTAAAATTTGGGGAAGAAAGAAAAGAGAAAAGGGTTATGAGGGGAGGAATGAAAAAAGAAGAAAGAGAGAGAAAACAAAAGACAAGATGACAAGAGAAAAGAACAGAGAAGGAAAGAGCCAAATAAATAGAAAAAGAAGGGAAATAAAAAGAGGAAGGAAGGAAAAAGAAGGGAAGAGAAAACAAAGGGAGAAGGAAACAAGAAACCAAAGAAGGGAGGGGGAGCAAAAAAAAAGGGGGAGAGGTATGAGGGGAAAGAAGCAAAAAAAATGAAAGAAAGAAGTTGAGAAGTGTATGAGGGAAAGCAATTCAAAAAGAAAGGAAAGAAAGAAAGGAGGAAGGGAGAAGGCACATTAAAGAAAAAGAAAGAATGAAAGAAAGCCATAGAAATGCATACCTGGGCAATGTAGGGTAAATAAGCTAGTATAAAATAAATAGAAAATAGAGAGCTTGGGGAGTGGGGAGGTGAGGAGAATTCTGCATCCTGACATCATTTGACTGTCAGAATACTGGAATATAGAAGCTGAAGGGAGCCATCACCTTAAATTAGGTGTCAGGAACATTATGGGATTAGTAGATGTCAATAGCTGAGGATGGGATAATCACAACGACCAGTACAGATCATGATTCAATTGGAGCCATCAGTAGCTGCCGACCAGTTAGCTTGCCTTGTGTGATAAAATCCTATAATTGAAATAGCCAGAATTATTTTAGTCAAATTGACATATGCAGACAAAGGAAAGAAAGGACCATATAAGTCAGGCATGGACAAACTTTGTTCCTTCAGGTGTTTTGGACTTCAACTTCCACAATTCCTAACATCTGGTAAGCTCACTGGGATTTCTGAGAGTTGAAGTCCAAAACACCTGGAAGTTTGTCTGTGCCTGCTGTAGATGTTCACTGATTTAACAATATTGGTGACCATGAGAGATACCATTCATCATTATACTTTGACTTTAATGTTTATATTCTTAAACCGAAGGTGGGGTGTAATGTTCAACTTTCTTGCAATGGGTTACAAAGTTTAATGGGATTTATATTTCTCTTTGCTGAGAGTTTAGTTTACTAATCCAAATATTATTTTTTTATCAAACACCAGGACTGCAAGGACCAAAAGGGATACTGGGTCCTCCAGGAAAAATGGGCCCAGCTGGACCAGCAGGAATGACAGGAGCAAAAGGAGATGTTGGAAACATGGGTAAGAAGTGTCTTCAGCCAAATGAATTTGCTCATAATATTGTACATTAAAGTTACAATGTATGGCAGTTACCACTCTTGATTTTATCATTGCTCCTCTTGCAACTGCTTCAAATGGAACACAAGATCTCCAAATGCTGAACCTGATAATTCAGAAGTTCAGCTCTATGGAATTATGACATTTGAAGTCTAGGGAGAGCTTGTAACAAACCAAACTACTAACCATAGAAAGAAACTCATTCGATGCTGCTATGGCAGTTAAAGAGGAATCATCATGCTATAACTATGTAGCATGAAAGGGGCCTTAATCTGATATAAATAATTTTGGACTGGCCTTGAATTCCACCGAGATGTTTACAAGCTTCACTTCCAAATCATGGCAGCAGTGGGAGTTGAGTCTCAACTGTCCAGTTGGGTCAAACCTAGTTTGGCCTTGCTGGATGGTTACCTTTATGTTTGTTACTGCTTGTCACCACAGTAATGGCCACAGAACTCTGGAAAGCTCACAAGGGGCCTTTGTTTATGTCAGCAAAGGCACCCGCACAACCTGGCAAAGGAGAGGAGGAAGGCAACCCCGCTCCTCCTTTCTCCAGGTCACAGGAGTGTATTTGCTGACATCAACAAGGGCTCGCAGTGACAGTCACAAGTTCTCCCAAGCTTTGTGGCTATTGTTGCAGTGGGAAGAAAAAACCAATAGAAAAGGTGTCATCCCTTTTTCCTGCACTACAGAGCATAGGGAAAATGAAATGACAGCACTGACCAATGTGAATGGCTGGACTGGTTCAAATTAAGACCAGTCCATTTGTTCACATTAACCCCAAAATGTGTGGTTGTTCCAGAGTTCCCTGATTTTTGCTAATGCAGGAAAATAGTCAGTTAACCAGTTTTACCTTGTGTTAGGAGCCAGACATCTCTGAACATGTGTGGACATCCAGAAGTGACATCTGACCCAATTTGGATTTTGTGACCCAGGGAGACATGCCCAGAAAGTGATGCCATATCACTCCTGATTATCATTTTGAAAGTGACCATACAGGATTATGCAATAATTTTGACTTCCCGTGAGTGTTTTTCTGATTTCTTCATTCCAATAAATATCAACTTCTGTCTAATTTTTAAAATTCTTAAACAGGGTTACAAGGAGCAACAGGACCACAAGGACCGGAGGGGAGGATAGGCCCTCCTGGATCAAAAGGAGATAAAGGTTACACAGGAGAAAAGGGGACAAAGGGTGACAGTGGTCTCTCAGGTAAGATTAAGTGGGATATCTTTAACATCGAAGGAAAATACCTGGGGAAGATTAAATATTGGCCCTTTGAAACTCAGGTGCTTTACAGAATTTGAATGAAAGAGATTGACTTACAAGTTGTAATTTATATACTCTGCAAGACCTAACTCTTTTTTTTAAAAAAAAAAAAAGAAACAATTCAATTCCACTGATAATACACTTATGTACACCCTCAACAGTAAAATTATAGATCCCAGAGTAGACATTGCTTCAATATCTGGAATCATGGATACTGTGTATCTCCAAGATACAAAAGTTTTAGTTGAAAGATAGCAAACACATAGATGTTCAAGAATGACGAGCCCTACCATTGGAAAACAGGCAGAAAATTGTTTAATTTGCTGATACATTTTGACTGTAAAGATGGGTTGGAATATACAACTATATTACGATATGTATTGTGAGTGTATAAATGTTGCCATTTAAACAAACAAAAAAATCTTGAGGCAGCAATGTGAAAAATATATTTACCACCTCAGGATGCTACAGCACTATTTCTTCCAGATGTTGATTACTCTATCCTTCCTCAGAAGTCAATCTATTGAAAAACCGAGTGATTGCCCTTGAGGGACAGCTAAACGCCCTGCAAGCCAGTTTCTCCAAGTATCAAAAAGGTAAAGTATTAAACTAATAGTGGAATGGAAATGAGAGTATTAGTAGAATAGGGTTACCGCATTAATGTAATTATCAATAAGGTTGGAAAAACCTAATTACTTCACATTACTGTTAGAAGGAGAAAATAAGTCTATGAATCTATTGGCCCATCTGCACTAGCCACCACCATATCACATAAGGTGATTTTAGCATGCCAGGATGCTGTCAGGATGCGTCTTCCTTGGGTCTCATGYTGCCCATTACGCAACGTATGGCTACTTCTGRCAGGGCTCCATGGAGGAAGCACCCTGACAGCATGGCAGGGTGCTTTCCTTGGAGAGCCATGGGGGCAGCGCAGGTGGTGGGAGGGGGAGACACATGACAATTGTTCCCCATGTGGGATGGGGAATTGTCAGATGTGGGTGAAGCGAGATGTGGGCCACTGGGATTTCCCCACCGTCCCACTGATTCACCAAGGAGGGTGGCAGATTGTCCATGCAATGAGGTCCTTACTCTGAGACTGGTCTGGAGCAGCAATACTACAGCCTGACTTCAGAGGTGGATACACTGCTTATCACTGTTCWATAACATCCAGTGAGACAAAACCAATTTGGCTCTTCTGGATGTTCACCTTTACCTGGCTAGTTGTCCCTGTCAGCAATGAAGCTAACCAGAGAGCTCCRGAAAATGCCTGGCTTTTACGTGACATCTTTGCTGACATCAATAAAAGCACCCACCCTTTCTCCTTGGTCATGCATGTGCCTTGCTGGTATCAGTAAAAGTGCCTGCCAATGGCCATGAGCTCTCAAAAATTCTCCAGCCAGCTGCCACTGTGACCTATATGACAGAGCCCCAATTTGCAGACTGCAGGGGAARGGGCATGATGCTACTGGGCCATAAGGACAGCAGACCGGTTCACATTAGAGTCTAGCTGTTGACACCAACTCAAGAGTGCAGTGTGGAGCTKTGGAGCTTTGCTGAAACTCTGGAGCTTTGCTGTCTAGAGCTTTGCTGAAACTCTGGTACAGTCCTCAAATTTTCATGGTGGGGTAAAAATGGAAGTCCCTGGACATTCTCTAGATGTCCTGGAGCAGGCCATAGGGCTCCATAATTATACTGTCATTCAAGGGCCTGTCTAGCCTGTCAAAAACCAAAAGTTCAACCAGAACAATGTCCAGGAAAATCACATTTCCCAAATACCTTACCATCTTCTCTTTCTCAATTATACACACACACAATATATTGCTACAGAGCATTTTTTCAAAGAGATACTGATGTCTTTATTTCGTATTTTTATCTATTTCAAGCTAACAGTCATATCAGTCTGCTCAAGCTGACCACTTACTCAAGTTCTGTTTTTCAAATTGCTTTTATTGTTTGTTGTTACTATATTTTCTAAAATTAAAATGCATATAGGTAAGCTACAGATAAGTAAAAATGAAATTAATTATCTAAATGTAATGAAAAGAGTTTACAATAAATTGGAATTAATGAGCAGGGAGATGTTCAAACATAACAATAAACCAGAATTCTATGAAGCACAACCAGGTTTACTATCACGTAAACACCCAAACAAAGACTGATCATCCCTCCTGACATAGACACTCCCACTTTTTTGTTTCAGTTGCAGCATACCCAGTTGGCCAAATTGTTGGCAATAAAGTCTTTGCAACCAGTGGCTATGAAGGCAACTTTCATGATCTGAAGCGGACGTGTCAGCAAGCAGGCGGCCAGCTGGCTTCCCCAAGGAATTCTGCTGAAAATACAGCAATCCAACAGATTACTATTCTATATAAAATGAAAGCATTTCTTGGGATAACCGACATTCAAACAGAGGGGACATTTAAATACTTGAACAGTGAGACCATTGTTTACTCCAACTGGAATACAGGAGAACCCAGTAATTATAGAAATAACGAGGATTGTGTTGAAATTCGTTTGGATGGCAAATGGAATGACATACCTTGTACGGATAAGACCCTAATGATCTGTGAATTTTAGGCCATTGATCTTAATATGTCCAATCTATTTACAATTGACCCATACATGTTAATTTTATTAGTAGGAATTAAAATAAAATGATTACCATATCATTTATTTTCACACAATTTCAGTGAGGTAGGATGTTGGCATGTGTACATGATTAATGTAGACATTGAGGACTAACAACAGTAGCAGTACTCATCTATGGACAAATCTGGAAAAATAAAATGGATAAGCTAATCAAAATGGAAAATTGAGTAATTAAAACATTTGAGCTTTCAGAAATGGATAAGCTAACCGTGTTGTTGAGAAGAAAAGCAATGAATGGCTTTATATAAGATTGGGAACTTTAAATCAATTTTTAATATGAGAACAGAGAAAAATATAATGCTTGCAAACAATTTTTTTAAAAAAACAATTGAAATTAAACAATTAAAAGAGTTACTATAACAATCTGGAATGTTAAGTATCACCAGACTACTGCAATGTGCTCTACATGGGGCTGCCTTTGAATACTGTTTGGAAGCTTCAAGTAGTCCAATGGGCAGCAGCCAGATTGCTCTCTGGAGTGAAGTACAGGGAGTGCACAACACCCCTGCTACGGCCGCTCCACTGGCTGCTAGTTTGCTACCGAGGACAATTCAAAGTGCTGGCTTTAGTCTATAAAGCCCTAAACAGTTCTGGCCCAGCTTACCTGTATGCTGGGCCAGAACTGTATTTCCCTCTATGAACCACCTCGGAAGTCAAGATCTTCTGAGGAGAACCTGCTATCAATCCCACCTCCTTCACAGGTGCAACTGGTGAATATGAAAGACAGGGCCTTCTCAGTGGTGGCCCCTCAGCTATGAAACTCCCTCCCCAGTGAAATCGGATCAACCCCCTCCCTCCTGACGTTTAGAAAGAAACTAAAAACTTGGCTATTGACCAAGCTTTTGTAGAACATTTAGTGAAATAGCCAGCTATGAAGTAATTGTAACACAATTTGAATGGCTCCTGGATTGCGACCAGATTTTGTGTGGTTTTAATAGTTGATTTTAATGAATGGAAATGCTTTGATTTTTAATTTAATTATTTTAATGTATATGTTTACTGTATTTATATGCTTATGTTTGTATGGCATTGAATTTTGACAATTTGGAAGCCGCTCTGAGTCCCCTTGGGGGTGAGAGAGAGCGGCATAAAATCATAGCCAATAAATAAATAAAGTAACAGTGGAAATTTAACTCAATCATACCTGAACCCTCCTAGAAAGTGTGAAGTTGCCTTTTAAAAAATTGTTAGTGTCGTTAGTTAAATGTATGTGAACATTTAATGGTATGCTTGCATACATTTCATGAAATGTCTATATATCTCATAAAGTATACTTCTGTAATGTTTTCAAAATAAATATATATACACAATCCAAAATCATTATAACACATTCCCATTGTTTTACTCTTGAGAAGTTGCAAGGCATAGTTATCAAGCATAAATCCAATTGTTAGTCCTAACTGAAGTAGTTCTCTTGCATAATGACATGATATGTGAATGCTTATGTCAGTTTCATCGGTTAAATTTGTCTATTTTACATGGGACTAAAACTGAATTTGGTCTATGTCTACTTTAGATGAAAGAACACTGAGACCGAATTACAATAGCTTTATACTTTATTACCAATAGACTAATGCAGCTTATTAGAAATGAGCAAATCATTGTACATTTGCAGAAGCTCTCCAGAGGCCAACTTGTGCTAAGTTATTTTACCATGTGATACAGAAAATGCCAGGTGCAGCTCATCCCATTATAGGCAGTAAAAATACAACAATAACAAAGCAAATTACTAAGAAGTTGCCACACTTTTGTGACACTTAGATTCTCCTGCTTGAATCATTTTTTATTTTATTATTTATTTGTTTATTATTTATTCAATGTATACCCCATCTTTCTCCTGGGATGGGATCCAAGGTGCCTAGTGGTAAAGGTGGGCCTGTGTTGGCATCTCAAACTTGATGCTTGAATGTTGAGGGAAATATAGCTCATTTTCCTCTACTTTACAGCATATGCTTATTTTACTGACTGGAATAATTTCATATGATTTGTTAGGCAAGGAATACTCAGAAATAGTTTTGCCAGTTTTTGCCAGATTGTTCTTCTAAAATGTATCCTACGCCTAATATATGTTGGTGATCTCCAATCCAAAATTAACAATTACTGGCCTTGGTTAGCTTCTAGGATCAAATAGGATGTGGTACCTTTTGGGTATTTACTATCCACATTCTGCACTGCTCTCTGATGCCAGTAAAGGAGAACATACAGTAAAAAAAAAAAGTGTGCAGGAAGACTCTGAGATGTATAGTTCAAAATACATTTTCTAAAGTTCGCCAGAATGATACTTATCTGTTCTTGAGATAACTGTATTTGTGATAATATTTATAATCAAAAGAACTATATAATACTTGGTTTGTGTAAACAATAAAAACAATTGTATGAAAGAATAGTTGGAAAATAGCAGCTCCTTTTCTATTATTCTATATAAAACACCATTCCCTTTGTATGTTGTAATTAATGTTCTTGTTTGATAGAGTCATAGCCTGTTCTAATGTCTTTGAGACATTGTTCTTCAATGTAATACAATGTTTTGGTTGCCGATGACACGATAAATATTGTTTTTCAATAAAATGCAGATGAAAACTGAATTGTATTCTGAGATGGTCCAAAATGATTTTTGTGTACTTGAGGCCATTCCTTCAATTTGGTTCTTCTATTAAAACACATTGCTCAATTCCTCTGGACAAGTCAACAAAAGGTGCCCTATGTAATGACTTGACACTGAAGAGTTTCTGCATTGTTTGTTTTTGGAAGGGAGGAGAGAACAGTGAGTGGGGTTGTGATGTGAGCTTTGCCCCAGAGACTTGCTACTAGTAGATCGTGGGTCAGTCCGCAATCAAAAATTATTCTTTTTTAAGAGCAGAAAAATAAAAAGTCAGTCAAAGGTGGTTATTTTTAACTGAGGAACTATATCTGGATTCCTACAAGAATATTAAGTCTGTAAAGAGCAACCTTTTGTGTGATCTGCACTCTATTAGGAGGAATGTAAGTAATTTTTATTATTAAATCAATGTAATGTTTTTATTAAAATAAATGTAAAAGTTTTACATCTACATTTCCACCAGATAGGCATCAATCACAAAACTTGCACACATACTGAAACTGAAACATTATTGCTCAATTCTGTATATTAAAAAGTTCTGATTTATCTCAATGGATCAGTTCAAAATAGCTGGGTGTCAGATTGGTGACCCGTAAAATGAAGGTTTATTGGATTGAGTGCAAGCCTTGATGAATATATACATAGGTTCACTCTTTCATTTCTCAGCCTCCTGGTTTTTCAGGTAAAATGCAGTTCTTCAACAAACAGATTCATAACAGATCTTACTCTAAAATTTACTCCTCTCCTATACATGTGCTGTAATCCTGGCTTGGATCAAGCCTATAAATGATTACTTTTGTACTAAGGAAGAGAATATCCAGCTGCACATGCTACATATGGAGAGAGTTATAAGATCTCAGGGTTTAACCTTTCTTCTCCACACACAAAAATAAGGGAGAAGTTTTCCTAATTTACTAAAATTCATCTTTTTTTCTTGTTATTTGCATAGCAGACTGTACAACTGTATTAATGTGTTATGCTTAAAAACATCACAAGGATCTTGACCCTGAAATCTCAAGGCATATGATTGTCTTGACCTGGCAACACTAAATTTCTAATAAGAAATATTTCAGCTTTAAACCTTACCAAATAGCTGTAAGTTAGAACCAAAACAGAATAGGAGAGAAGTTAGACTACAGCCTCCAGAAGTTAGGAATATCTGGCTGGGGGATTTTTGGAGCTATACTCCAATCTTTAACTTTTTCAGCCTTTAGACAAGATATTATTCACAGTCAAGCATGTAGCCGGGGGGGGGGGGGTGTTTGAGGGGCTTCAGCCCCCCCCCCCGAAATTCTCATGGTGGTTCGCGAAAAAGCCTTACTGGTGCATTATTTAAATTGTTATGTTTATTCATATCATGATCTGATCACCATACTCAATATATCCCATATGCATGGGGGTATTGGGGTAATGATACAAAAGGTTTGCTAGGCTAGACCCTCTTTCACTCAGACTCGGCCCCCCCGAAACTCAGCCCCCCCGAAACCCCCCCCTGAAAATTTCCCCCCCCCCCGAAACAAAATCCTGGCTACGGGCCTGTTCACAGTGTATTTATATAAATGACTTTTTAAAATGCATGTGTATGAAAGGACATTAATATTCTTAAATAAAAAATTTTAGGTAGTAGAAAGTCTTCAAATAATGACTATCTGCTGTAAATCCATTTGTTTTTGACAATAATCCCATTGCCCCTTGTTCTAAAAGTAACAGAGTAGAAGTTTTAAATTACTCAAATTTCCATTTGAGGGTCCCGTTAAAATGTTTCATCACCACCTGTAATTGAACTACTAATGCTATCTGTGCTTACATGAATAGTATCTCATGTAGTTTGATCCTACAGGTAGTCAATAGGATAAATAGAGTAGTGTTTCAAATGGCAGTATCATAAATCCATCACTGAAATAATAGACACCAAATGTCTAACACACTTATTACCATCCTGGAATTTTGCATACTTTACATGTAACATACTAAGGTTATAAGGAGACTATGCTTATGTGGGACTCCCCGAAAGGTTAGCAAATAACTTAGAAGAAAAGGGATTAAGGAGGGTAAAAGATATGTGGAAACAAAATGGAGAGATAATCAATTGGTCAGAGTTTTTGGAAAGGGGGGGGGGGAGAAAATTGATTAAAATTAAGAGGGATTTGGGAAAAAGAGAGTGCACAGCCCACTGAAGAACTAAAGGTAGATAAATTGCTAAATGCAAGAGATAAAACAAGTAAAGGAACAGTGGCAAAATATATATAATTTAATAGTATAAGATAAAGAGTTTATGATTAGAGCAATAAGTAACAAATGGAATGGAGTTAAATCATTACAGACACAAGAAATAGAGGAAATAATTAGGAACATGAATAAAATAAAAACAGAAAAATATAATGAATTAGAAAAAAAGATGATATTAAGATGGTATAGAACTCCTGAACAATTGGCTTATATGTTAAAAGGAAAGAATTCGAAGTGTTGGCATTGTAATAAAGAAAAATGTACTTATTCACATATGTGGTGAGAGTGTTCTGAAATTAAAAAGTTCTGGCAGATGATACAAGGAAAAATTCAGGAGATATTCCAGATAAAAATTCAAATTAATAATGTTTGCTACTATGGGGAGTGCTGGATCATCCAAGTATAAAAACTAATTGCCAGGAGTTATTTAAGGTAACAATAAGAGCAGCCCATGCAGTGATTGCTAGAGGATGGAAAGACAAATCGAAATGGACTTAAAGTAATTGGAATGATTATATGTATGACCAAGTACTGTTAGATAAAATGGGAATTATGACTAAGCAAGCACCAAGAATGGACAAAGAAGAAATCATTACAAATAGATGGAAGGTCTACTTCAACTGGGTGAAAAATTGAGGAGCCAACGATCATATAAAAGAAAAAAAATACAAAGACTCTACCAGTGGCTGGATCTGCAAGATTAGTAGAAATATACTGTGGTTGAGGAGTAGAAATATACTGTGGTTGGGTTTATAACATAATAAAATATGTTTTTTTAAAACGGAGACTATGCTTATTAACCTTATGAATTACGTTATGTGAGAAATCCTATCTTGATGCTATCAATTTGCACATACACTTTGAGTCTACACTAAAATATGTACAATCCCTAATATTTAAACATATTCATCAGTCAGTTCAAACTCACACTGGTGAATTACAGTACTATCAGTTGGATCATCATAGCTCACTTTTTTGGTCACTGTAAAAGTTGAAATTCTGTTTAGACCATGCAATGACTAAAATCCTCCTTCCCAAATCTACCTTGAAAGCACCACAGTCATCTCTACCAAGCCATTTTTGTATTGTTGGAGGGCAGGGGTACAAGGAAGGAGAAATCCAGGTGTTTTGCTGTACCTGGATGTGCTGCAAGGATGCAGTTTGCAGAGATCTATTGAGTACTATTGACAGTCCTTGCAGACACCTACAGAAAAATAACTGGATAAACTTTTCTCTAAAACATGTAAACACTTGCATTGCAGGCTAAACTGATTAAAACATAACCTTTGGTGTGGAGATAACATCAGAAGGTGTAGCTTCTGAGTTACAGTTATGTCTCACGATATAGGATCTTGGCTTATATACTTAATGTATTGTATATCATAACAACAACTGCAATTCAGCAATATAAACATGAATGCCTATTTACATATTTAGATAAAGACCTATAAGATCGAAGACCCTCCATGGGGATGATAACCCTGATGATTTCACCTTCTCATACATTTCATTATGTTTTTAAATTTTTCTTTCTTTCACCTCCATTAATACATGACAAATTTTCAATTTTCTTTTTAATTAAAAACAGAACCCACCCTGATTTTTACCCGTTCTGATATACCATTGGCACTTTAATTATTTCATTATTTACTGAATCTGAAACTGTACAAGATGTGAAAGAACTTTTGTAGTTGTTGTATGTGTTGCTTTCAATTTGTAGAGATCCTAAAGTTCACCTGTCAGAGTTTTCATGGTATGATTGTTTCACTGAATTGTTTTAAACCTGTATAAACATTCTTTCACAAGCAGATTTTCAAAAATGAAATTCCGTTGTGGTTTTATATATCTTCTCCTTGGAGTGGCATCTTCACAAACTGCAAGGCCAGATAATTGCAGATGTGAACAGAAAGCAAATGCATGTCCTTTCATTCCGGGAATGGCTGGTTTACCAGGCCCAACAGGACAGAAAGGTGATCAAGGTACAGCTACACTGGGGTCATTGGGATATTGTTTGTTAAAAACGTGGGCAATGCATGTAGTAAGGTCACTGATCAGGGACTAAATTTACTGGAAGTCCATTCTGATGAGGCAATGAAGACATTTGGGAATCTGTAACTATCTCCACCCTCCAAAACTAGTAAACAAGAGTTCAACTGACCTTTGTTCCCAAGTACCATTCTTCCCAAGTACCTTTTTTACCTCTGGGTTATGAGCTGAACTGACAAGGGCCTGTTGCCAATCTTTAAGGAATCCTAGGGCTCTTCCACACGGGCATATAACCCAGAATATCAAGGCAGAAAATCCCACAATATCTGCTTTGAACTGGTTTATCTGAGTTCACACTGCTATATATCCCAGCTCAAAGCAGAAAATGTGGGATTTTATTCAGCAGTATGGAAGGGCCCCTAGAGGAGCTTTATGACACAGTATTAAATAATATTTTGCCTGCCAACTCCCGAAATAAGAGACACAGACAACAGAATGGAGTAAACTAGGGCAACTTTATTGAATGTTACCTATTTAAAACCTCGAAATTGAATCTCAACTAACAGAAGTCACCTAAGAATGGCCTTCAAATGAGAGAGTTTAGGAGGAGGGGATGGCCTGCAAGGATTGACTGGAGAACCAAAACTGGCCCATGGACACCCTTTGTATTTTAACCTGGACCAGTAATTGCAAGATTAATTGATAATTCAAAATCAACCTTAGATTATATTTGTATAAAACAGCAAAATCATTTGATTTTCATTTCTTTCATT